GCGGGGGTCAATATAGGCGGGAGCTTCCCTGGTGCAACCCTCCCGCTCCCCCCTGGTCATCTGCCAAGATTCCTGGGCCTCCCGACCCTCCCTGGCTCAACCCACCCTTCCCGCCCTGGCCTGTTTCCCCAGATCTGTCTCTTGACTCGTTCCCCCCTCCCTCCCCTACCTATGCTGCACTGTGTAAAGGTTTTGTATTTCATCTGTTTGCATTGTGTTTTCTTTTCCTCTCCAGTCTGCTTGTTGTTTGTATGTGTTTTCTGGTGTTCGGTGTCCCTCATAGGCGTCCCTTTTGGGGAGGGGTACTGTCACAGCGATCTGGATTATTTGGTAATTTGGTGACAGGGCTCTGACAGTCCCTGTGTCCTGTTTGTGTGAGGGGGCGCGGTTTCGTGCTCACTCAAGCTATGCGCTCTTCCCTATGGGTTCTGATTTGTGAGCGCGGGGTTCGCGGGGTTCCCTCTCGCCTTTGTGACTTGTTGTTGGTGTGGAGTGTGGTGTTCGGGTCTTGGCACTGGATTCAAGTTCGGATTCAGTTTGCGTGCCGGGGTTCGGACACTCGCGTTCAATGTCCTTCAGTGTGAGCGCACGGTTGAAGTGTTCATTCACTCACCGGGCGCTCGTGTCTTATGTCACTGTCAGTCTTTCTTGCAAGCACATGGGGTTTGTTTTGTTATTCGTGCCATGTGCTCATGTCTATCCTGTTACCCCGCCCCTCTCGTTACCTGTTCATTGATTCATTTGCTTCCAGCCGTGTTTCCCTTATTCATTTGTAATTCGGTTCCCTACTTATGCTCCCTTTGTTTGCTGTCCTGGGCTGATGTGTCTCACTCTGTTTGTATGCCTGCCCGTTACCCTGTTCCTGGTATTTTTCCATTTATATTTATCATTCTGGTTTTCCCCTTCAGGGTGGTTTTTGTTGCCGTTTTTGTTAATTTATATTTTTGGTTTAATAAATCCATTTATTGCACTTGTGTCTTCGCTACCCATTCATACTGTGACAGAAACTATGGAAGCCCGTTTCTGCCACTGAATAAAAAATAAAAAAAAAGGTAATTGTGACTTTTTTTCCTCACGATTGCGAGTTTACATCTCGCAATTTACTTTTTCTCACAATTGTGATACAAATTCGCAATTCAGAGAAATTAAGTCAGAATTGTGAGATATAAACTCAGTGGGAGTAGATATAAATTTGATGCTTCGTCAACAATATTCATGATCTTGACAACTGTAATAGTAAAAGCATATTAATTTTCAAAAGAGGTCCACATGTAATACTTATCTAATAGGCAAAGATGTTACTCAATCACAGCAGTGGACATTTAATATTACAAATGGTTTCTTTGCATTTATTTTAGATTTATCAGTACTGGCTCGCAGTTCACATGGGTAGGATGTGCATAATTATGTTCCACCACCACCAAAGACCCTTTTTGACCCAGGGAAAACCCTGTTAGGACACACATTCTTTAAAAATATAATTCACTTCTATAGAACTGGACATTTTAGTAAGAATCAAATAAGCAAGTTCAGCTTTGAGAATGAAAACCAACCTGTTTGTTCCTCAGTATCTTCCTGTTTGTCTCTGAATGTTTCTTCAATCTTCATGTCTTCACTCTCCTCTTTAATAAACGCCATCTTTATAATAGTATGTTTAGAATGACAACAATTAGTAGAAAGTAAAATATAAACTAAATCTCTGAATGCATCTCAATCAGCTTTCTAGTTCAGTAGTCAGCGCACTGTTAAAGCGATAGTTCACCCAAAAATGATTGATGGAATCTGAGAGCTGTCTGACCCTGCATAGACAGCAACGCAACTGAAATGTTCCCAAGTCCAGAAACGTAGCAAGGGGATCTGTAAAATAATCCATGTGACATCAGTGGTTCAACTGCAATTTTACGAAGCTACGAGAATAATTTGTGTGTGCAAAAGAAAAAAAATTACAACTTTATTCAACAATTCGTCTCCTCCGCGTCACCCTGGCACCATTTTGGAGAGTATCCAAACGTATGCTGTTCTGTGTCAGCTGCGTCACGCGGATACGCTGTTTTCATTCAGATCAAATCACAACAACGAAGGAAACAGATCCGGCGTGACGAAATCAAGCGTGAATAAAGTCGGGGTTTTTTTCTTTTGTGCACAAAAATTATTCTCGTAGCTTCGTATAATTACGGTTGAACCCCTGATGTCACATGGATTATTTTACAGATCTCCTTGCTACGTTTCTGGACTTGGAAACATTTCAGTTGTGTTGCTGTCTATG